ATACTCAGCTGGTACTCTTGCAAGTTTCAGAGCAAGCTACACTATATTACATTTATGTACTAGGTTTTGACATAGGTGCCTCACGATTTGAGCAGTTTGCTATTTCTGCAATCTCTAAGTATACACGTATCTCTAACTATATAAAAATACAACACCTAAAAGATTTATCCCACAACAGCAGATATTTTTTAAGGATGTCTTAAAACATGTTAAAAAATCACTCCTTCACTGACCTTGCAAAGCACCCAAAAATATCTCAATTCCTTAGCACCCAGCACAAAACTATGCAATTGTTTGTTAGACAGATCTATTCTGTATGCCTCCCCTTAAGACAACGTGGGCTCTGTCTAGAATTTGGAGCTGACTTTTGGAGGATTCCTTGAAGCACAAGTCCTGTGGGCTTAAATTCCTGGTGAATGTCATTTATTCTCAGTCCCACCTGTGCGTTGAAAGGTGTGAGAAAGCAACTCGAGAGTACATCGTCCTTGCTCTGTGATGTTGTTTCCTTCGCCTCTTATTTAGAATCCTCCTAATGCCACCAACTGTGATAGGCCTTTACCCACATTATCTCACTTAAACCTCACATTTAACTAGTGGCCAGTGCACCATCGGAATCCCCTTGTACAAGATGAGATCCGAAGCTCCAGTTCATGCAGAAACTTACCAAACATCACCTGGCAGAGGCAGTGAAAGAGCTGCGGCTCAGGCTCAGGTGCACCAGCCTCCCAGTCATGTCCACTTGACCTCAGCAGCATGCTGTCCCCACCAGCCAGCGCTCCTCGCAACACGTGCTTAGTCCCGAAGGTGCCATGGCTCCCTACGCCAAGCCACCGAGGGCCACACTGACGGTCCCAGGCTCTGCTGGCTCTGCCCCACTCCTGTCCTGGAGATGGACACACACAGTGTCTCATGTTGCTCCCTGTGCTGGCCCCAGGAGTGGCCAGCAGCTAGGACAAGCACGCCTTACATTCAGGTTCTGCCCACCTGCCTCACAGAGCACAGGTGTGTGCTGAATCTGTAGGTGAGCTTTCAACTGCTGTCCTCCTGGAGAGTAATCTTCAAAGGAAAATTCTCTTTAGGCCATGGAGCAGCCATTGTCAGCAGTTGGCATGCAAACAGTTAGCAGGTCATTTTAGTGAGAACAAAGAATGTTGAAGAGAAGGGGGTGAAATGTTAGCGAAATCTGTAGAGAAGACAGCTCTCAAACCAGCCGCAGCTGCCTGCCTTGCTGCTGCAGAGCTCGAGCCCCACCTGTAATGTCACAGAGAACCTAAGATGTTGCTGCACTGAGAAAGGTAGTGGCACATGGCCCAGAAAGCCTCCGTGGTGTGTGAGGTGGGGACCCCCAGAAAGCCTCCGTGGTGTGTGAGGTGGAGACCCCCAGAACAGCCTC